TGTACCATCTTTTCAAGCTCAGTGCCTTCATTAGCCTATGAATCTTTACAGAATTGCACTTACCTGCCTATATTCCAGTCTGTCTAGCTCATCCTGATAGCTATTGCTGCTCCATTTAAACTGCCAGGCGTACAGACCTAAATGTTCAAACCCAACTGAGCTCTGTAGTGACCAAAACTTGTTACCACCTGCATTACAATTAAGAGGCTGATTGCTAATGGACAGCTAACCACATTCCTGAAAAAAACCATAGAAATTAACACAAGTTATGCCCTTGGTGACAATCTCAACTAGAAAAGTGAAGGATAGGAAGGCCACCATAGAAGTAGCCTCTTGAAAGCAGGGCAGAGACATGCTGATGGGGCATATGGGAGAAGCTTGCTATGTCACTGTTTCTCCTGTACTATTCTGTGAATAAACTGATGACTTAGGCCTGGTCTCTACACAAACTTGCATCTGTTTTTGCTAAAGGAGTGGCTTTAAATAAGTTTAGTCAAACTGGCACAAAACCCTGCAAAGACACGTATCTCAGTTTTAAAAGTAGTTTATATAGATTTCGCTTAAATCACTTCCTTGTCACAAGCTAAATTGTCATAAGCCACTCAAACCTTAATGTGTGTCTGTGCAGGATTTTGATGCACCCATTGAACTAAATTGTTTTTTAAATGAATTTAAGTTAAACTGGTGCAACGTTCTCATGTAGACAAGCCTTTATCTCGCCAGTGCTATCATTTTGGTACCCAGAAAGAGTACTAAATTAAAAAGAGAAACCACTGCTCTCATTAGGTTATGGTCACTATTGCATAGATTCTGTTCCATAATTACTAGTACCTCTCCAGTACAATAACATCCTCTGGGTTTCTCAAAACAAATCCATGAACGGTTCCCTTCCTAATCTAGCTCCATCCCTCACACACTGTGGGAGGGAACAGATTTGTACCGTGTTACATGCATAAATATGTGGGCATCTAGGTAGGGAGTAGAACTGAGTGTACAAAATGCAGTTACATGTATTTTGTTGTGGGCACACTTTCATTAAAGACAAAGGCCTGGATCATTGTTTATTCCCCACACTCTCCCAAGGGGGAGGGGTGGACAAAAGGGCCAAGAAAAACTGTGACGTTCAGGTCTATAAGGAGAAGCCACAATGTGCGCAGGGGGCCTGGCTACTGAAATCCACCACCCCCAGGGACCTGCCTGAAAGTGATGAGTGGAGGCAGAGGCCTCCACGCTGCCCCCGGCTCCCTGCCGCTGATAGCAGAGCTCCTAAAGGTGCTGACTTCCGCATAACTGCAGAACAGAAGCTGCAGAAAGGACATTGCAGGAGTTACACTGCTTGGTTTTCACACTGTGCTGTTATCTGCTCTTTTACTGACTTGCCTGGTTGCTTTAACCTCCAGATAAAAGATTCAGTAAAAGTCAAAGCATGACTCAGACCAAGGACTAAATTATTTGTACGCTACTGTGCAAAGGTCCCTCTTCATCAGGGAATGAAATACAACCCTGATTACCACTTAACAGCAAGAAAATATGGAATGTTAACCATTCCGGTCATGAGAAAAGCATTAAAGAGTGTATTGGAAACATGCAGCCAAAAAGGAGATCAGAGCTATGATTTGTTATTAAGACATTCACACTAGATGGGAAGCACTAAATAACATTAAGCTGTTAGGCTCTCTTTTTTCACTCTACATGCAGGAAATTACATTTTAAAGTAGTGTATGATCTTTCTAAGTCTTTAAAGGGGTCATGCACTATGAGCATCTGGCATGCTTATGTTGTCATTCAAGACCATGAAGTCATCTTGCAACTTGCATTCCTAATAGAGCCAATAGCGTATAATTTTCCATGTGTCACTTTATTGACTTGCTAATAGAGCAGAGATTAGAGGTAATCTAAGAGAAGACAGACTGTGCATATTTAACAAAATAAAAGGCCTGCTAATTTTAATTTAATTAAATTGGAGTTTGGATAATATTTCATAAAGAAAGTCAATGTCGTAAGAATAAATATACTTTTTCAATCTTATGGTGACAACCCATAGATCAATTAAGTGCCAAAAGAGCCCCAGACTTATCCAGTGAAATTAATATTGTGAAATCCATCAAAGGCATACATTCAAAGTTAAGGTTGAGGTTCTACCTTCATGCCCCGCTTTACTGAGTTATTGCAGCTCCTATTAATCCTGAGTATAAGAGCATAAGAACATAAGAATGGCCATACTGGATCAGACCAAAAGTCCATCTAGCCCAGTGTCCTGTCTTCTGACAGTGGCCAATGCCAGGTGCCCTAGAGAGAATGAACGGAACAGGTAATCATCAAGTGATCTCTCTCCTGACATCCATCTCCACCCTCTGACAAACACAGGCTAGGGACACCATTCCTGCCTATCCTGACTAATAGCCATTGATGAACCTAGACTCCATCAATGTATCTATTTCTTTTTTGAACCCTGTTATAGTCTTGGCTTTCACAACATCCTCTGGCAAGGAGTTCCACAGGTTGACTGTCCGTTGTGTGAAAAAATACTTCCCTTTGTTTGTTTTAAACCTGCTGCCTATTAATTTCATTTGGTGATCCCTAGTTCTTGTGTTATGAGAAGGAGTGAATAACACTTCCTTATTTACTTTCTTTACACCAGTCATGATTTTATAGACTTCTATCATATCCCCCCTTAGTCATCTTTTTTCCAAGCTGAAAAGTCCCAGTCTTATTAATCTCTCCTCATATGCAAATGCTCCATACCCCTAATCATTTTTGTTGCCCTTTTCTGAACCTTTTCCAATTCCAATATTTCTTTTTTGAGATGGGGTGACCACATCTGCATGCAGTATTCAAGATGTGAGCATACCATGGATTTGTATACAGGCAATATGATATTTTCTGTCTTATTATCCATCCCTTTCTTAATAATTCCCAGCATTCTGTTCACTTTTTTGACTGCCACTGCACATTGAGTGGATGTTTTCAGAGAACTATCCATAATGACTCCAAGATCTCTTTCTTGAGTGGTAACAGCTAATTTAGACCCCATCATTTTATACATATAGTTGGGGTTATGTTTTCCAATGTGCATTACTTTGCATTTATCAACATTGAACTTCATCTGCCATTTTGTTGTTCAGTCACCCAGTTTTGAGAGATCCTTTTGTAGCTCTTTGCAGTCTGCCTGGGACTTAACTATCTTGAGTAGTTTTGTATCATCTGCAAATTTTGCCACCTCACTGTTTACTCCTAAGGTCATCTGGTTTCTGGGGTTAAATGTCTACAACCCATTGCATTAAGGATTGTGTCCCATGTAGTGTGACCAGATGTCCCGATTTTATGGGGATAGTCCCGATATTTGGGGCTTTGTCTTATATAGGTGCCTATTACCCCACACTCCCTGTCCCGATTTTTCACCCTTGCTATCGAGTCACCCTAGTCCCATGCCACCTTGACTTTCCAGGGCTAGATTCTCTAGCCTGTTTGCACAACTGCAGCCATGACAACTGGAATCTTGTCACATCTTGCCAGCTCAGAATTCTCCCAACCTGGTGAAGTCCTCAGCTGGCTTAGAACTGGCATGGCACCCCCTCCTCTACCTAGTCCTAGGGGACATAAGTGGCAGGAAGAGAGCTGGATCTCTGTTTGTTACCAGCTGGTGTATATTGGAGCAGCCAGGGCCAATAAAATTACAGCCTGAGAATTAGGGAGCCACAGCTGGATGTTTGGCAGCCCTTCTGACCTCTGCTGGGCCCACTGGACACTAGGGTGATCAGATAGCAAGTATGAAAAATCAGGACGGGGTTGGGGGATAATAGGCGCCTATATAAGAAAAAGCCCCAAATATCGGGACTGTCCCTATAAAATCAGGACATCTGGTCACCCTATTGGACACAGTAGTGACCCTGAACTTGCTGTCAGTTCTTGTCACAAATAAACTAACATTACACAGGTAGAGATGTGTCCACTCACTCCGGAGGGCTGGAAAATAGTTCCCTTCCGCCTCTATGTAATACCATTGCCATCTCAGAGGCCACCCTAACTGAAGCATCATATAACCATGGCAACTCTCCAGGGGCAGCATGTTTAAAATGAGTTCCGCTGTTTTCAGTTGTGCATTTGTGCAGTTGTGACTCAGAAGTTACGTGTGATAATGTGCAACAAATATAATGACTTAAGTCCTTTCAAGCAAAATATTTGTCGTTGCAGGTACAGGAGCAACTGGGGAACCTGTTCGGTAAACAGTGTAATTTTTGTGGTAATCACTAGTCCTGCTCCGATTGCAGTCAATGGCCCCTGGCAGCAGGAACAGGCCCCAGAATCTTCCCATGCCCCTCTTCTGTCCCATGCTTGGAACTGAAATTATCTGCCTGTTTTTGGGGGGATGATCGAAAGTTAACAACATGAATTGCGCAGGGCACTTGATTTTAAAACAGAAACAAGCAAAATCCCCAGTGAAAACCTCCTGACACAAATTTTATGTTATAAATACCTATTGCTAGGGGTGAGCATGGTCACATGCAGAGACATATGCATCTGTGTTCTGCACATGCTGACCTATAAGACACAAAGGATATTGGTTCAATCTTGGCTCTAATACACTAGTCAGAATTGGAAACATTGGAATTGACTATAGTGCTGTCAGCAAATTTCTGGCTCTCCACAAACTAGGAAGTGATCGCGCCTCATGGGAAGACAGATGAAGAAGTAATTCGAAATCACTAGATGGGTTTTTCTGCAGCTGAAAGTGGACAGGGATTATTCTTTTAAAGAAAGCCATTTTATGTTATTGGGCACATTAGGTGCCTTTTTGATTCCACTTGTGGCTACGTAGGATTAATTTAAGTTAACTAGAATAATGTTTTGTCGTGGTAGGTACACAATCTGCATGCGTCATGACTACAGTCTCTAAGAAACTTCTGTTTATAATGAAATGTCTTTGACTAGGCTTTAGTTACTAATCCTTGATGTGAATCAAGCAGAGGGAAAGAGGAAGAGAGAGAGAGAGACTCACAATGAAAACAAAGAGCCTGTATGAGGGTACCGGAGGGACACTTATTACCTTTGGGATTATAAGCATTTTCTCTGGAATTTTTGCTTTCTTTCCTGTTTTTTCTTATAAGCCTTGGTTTGCTGGCTGGAGCGTTCGAATCACCTGTCCCATCTGGAATGGAACTTTGGTAGGCCACAAGAAAAATGTTAGCAGGGAAAAGATATTAGAGAAGTTACTGAAATTCTAAGAAAAGTCAACCATGTCTGAATTTGATTCCTATTAATATAAGCTCTTTAAAAAGAAGTACTTGGAGTATTCAACATTAAATTAAATACAGGAGCTCCCTGCAACTCCTTGATAAGATTTAACTTTGCAATAAATGTTAAGATATTGATTGTTTCAGGATATTTGGCTCTCACAATTTTTCTTTGCTAGCAAAAACGAAACTCTCCAACTCTGGGCCAAATCTGGATTTCAGTTACACCAGTGTCAATGTGAAGTAACATGACTGGAGATATACTCTTGCAAGTGTTATCAGAATTTGGCTCCTCTCTCACACTGATTTGCTGCTCTTGGGTTCATGTCCTTTAGTTTCAGCAGAAGCCTGTTTATGTTTTAGGTTTCAAACTATGCATGAAGATGTATACAAGTGCAGCAAGTTTTTGTGTTAAAAATTATGCAGCCACAGACCCATGAAATCTCTATAATAGTTTAAGACTCAAATTCTGCTCTGGTTTACACCTAGTGCATCCCCACTGAAGTCAGCTCATTGCAGGGGGCTGTATGTTATAGGGCAGAATTTTGTAACAACGTAAAGAGATTGCAGCCTGTAAAGGGTTACAAGTTCCAGGCTGATCCCATTGCTGCTTGGGTGGAGTGTAAAAGGAAGGGGAAGCTGGGTCAAAAGGAGAATTAAAGGGTGTCCTTCCTTCTTCCCTACTAGCTGGTTCCAGCGTGGGGAGCCTTTGGGGGATTATTGCCCAGTGTTTTTCAGTTGATCTGCTTTTGGTTTTGTGATTGTTTTGATGATAATTCAGCCCTGAGGAAAGGGCTTTAAAAGGATGGGGTCTTGGAGTTTTCCTTCAGTTCCCTGGTTCATGAAATCACCCACCAGTTTCTACCTTCATTTACTAGAAAAGAGGCATCAAAAGATGCTCAAGTAAAAATTCTTTACTCTGAGCGCTTTGGATTGCTGACGTTTTTGAGAGTTACTGATGTCCTGCTGATGTTAGGATCCACATAATAAATTACATTAAAACAATATGCCAGAATTGATTGAATTATGTTCTGTGATCCTCATCCTATCCCTTCCACCAGTGTTTAATTGCAGTTTTGGGTATCGCTTTACTTAAAACATTGCTGTTGATGGGATTAGGGTGTCTCTAACAGTGTCATTTGTTTAGGGATGATTTTGTGGCCACTTCCTCTGGTACATTCCACAAAGAGATGTGGACAAACATGGAGTGGGTTTGGTTTAGCAAAGTGAAAATAAGGGTGGTACAGCTATAGATCCCATTTTATCCAAGCCACTAAATTTAAACTTCCAGCTTTGCCTCAGCTCTGATTCCACAGCCCCTTGAACTAAGGAAGAACTATGCTGTTTCATCAGTTTTTAAGCAGAACTTTTCATTGCCTTCAAGAGGGAGGTTAGCTTAAAACTGGACGGAAGACTCTGGCTCCAAGTCCTGAAGCTGGTAATGCCATTGCTAATTTAGTGAACAAATAAGTTGTTACATGTATGATCAGATTTGTTTTCATTGTGATGGCCAAGATACCATATCATGGTAATAGAAAGATTTCTTCACATTGCTTATGTTTGGCCCTGCCCACTGATCCAGCACCATTCATCCTAAAGTACAGAGACAGACAGTGAGTGCTAAGTAGAGCTGGCTGAAACTCGGAATTTCTGGTTTGCAGGAATTTTCAACTGTTTGAAATTTGGTTTTGTTCCAAGTGTGAATGAAACCTATTTATTTATTTATTTCCTGTGAATCAGAAATTCCAACAAAGGTTTGGTTTGGAAACACCAGCACAGGAAATGAAATACACTCCATGGACCCTTGCAGCTGCTAAAAGAGCAGCAGTGAAACTCACAAGAATCATGTCAGCTTCACAAGCTGCTGCCAGGACTTCCAAGGTCTGTGGCTTCTGAGAGGCCCCACCACAGGGTCTGCCCTAGAGCTTCCAAACTCCTGGGCCAGCTGGCTCTCCAGTCTGCCTGACTCTCAGGGCAGTTCACTCACCAGGCTGTGGGAGTCAGGCAATCAGCTGGCCCAGGGGGTTGGATGTCCTAGGGCTCCTGGCCCGGAGAAGCCCACGTGGTGGGGCAGCCTCTGAGCCACAGACACGAGAAGCCCATTCCAGGACTTCCATTCTCCCAGCTGCGCTGTAGAGAGAGCCTGGAAGGCTTGAGAGCCCCAACTTGAGCCCCACAATGACTGGGATATGGTGCATTAGGGGGTATTTCTGTGCAAACCACCAGGCATCTTTAGATTTTCTACCCAGTGGTTCCAAGCCTGGTGGCAGCTGTCACAGGACATCCCAGGCACTCCACTGTTTGTGAGGGGCCTGTTTGGTAGGATGTGCTGAGACTGGGGTCAGTCATCTTTACTTTAGCCTTGCACTTATGGCCAGGTCATGACCGAGTGGAAACAGAACTGTAAAAGGCAGATTGGTGCAATGGAGTAGGAAAGGCTGCTTGGGGGCGGGGGGTGAAGGTGAGAGACAGGGGGCTGCTGGGAGGTGGTTTGATGCTCAAAGATGATTGCATAAGGGGGATGGAATAGACACACAGATGTGTCTGAATGATAGGTAAGGGCTGGTAACACGAAAGTGATTGGGTGCTATGGGAGGGTCTGACAAAAGAGGTACATGGGGGCTGGGGAAAGTCATGGGAAGTGTACCATTTTGGTGGGTTATGGGCATTTGGTAGGGGAGGATCAGGCCAGACTGGGTCCGTGTGGAGCAGGGGATGGGGAAGGGAAGTTGAGCTGATGGTGGTAGAAGGATGTTTCACTGATGGGCAGCCCATGGAGAACGGTCTGGAGGATGGCTCAAAGCAGGATCATGCACTTGGTGCTGAATGCACGCGTATATGGGAAGAACACAGACTGAGCACAAATACAGATTACACAGCACGGGGGGAAATCTGATTCACCGTTCTCTCTATCCATTGAATGTCTGGAATCCAGGAGCAGGCGGTGGAGTGCATCATGTTCTGTGGCCTCAGGTAGTGACAGTGCTGAGGGGGGATTCCAGTGGGAGAGGAATATGACTCCTTTTCCTTCTCCAGCTCCGAACTAGATAATGGAAATGGCCTTGTAGATGTAGCAGCTGCAACAGGTGAACATGGTGTAAGACTGCAGTGTAATTGTTGCAGGCAGACACTGGTGCACAGAAGCTGACCTGTCTCCTGTCACTTAAAGGTTGCCTCGCTTGTGTTGAAAGTCCTGTTAGGCAGGGCAGTACTCAGATCCCAGGATTCTGCAGCCTCCATATTTAGGTGCGTACATGACCCCAGGAAGTGAATGGGGAGATAGGTGGCTAAGTGCCAACTACTTTAGGACTGAAAATTCTGCTAGGCAGCAGCCTGTTTAGGGAGTTTGGCTGTACAATGCTGAACAATGCCTTTAAAAACAGACCCTGAGTCAATGGAAAGAATCCCATTGGCTACACTGGATCAGATTAAGAATTAAGAAAAAAAAAAACCAAAATGGCAGTGCTTACAAAACTGCAATGTTATGGCATTTTAAACTTTGGGATAGAAAGTAACATGTCTTGCCAGTGTATTTAAAACAAACTGGAAACTGATCATCTACTAGTTTAAATTATCTGCCTGGAGCTAAACCAGCATGATGTATAATCCCTCCCTTGCTTTTATCCATCTTCAGTTTTTCCTTTGTTCCACCAACCACATGTGCATTAAGTGTAAATTGAACCCCTCTCAGTTGACAAAGAAGATTATGAAAGAGTTTGGCTCTCATCTTATAGTGCAGCCTCAGTATTACAATTGCTCTTAATAGTACTCTTATTTTGTAGCCTAATTTATTCTGGCTAGAACCCTGTAGGATCCCCTGCTTGTGGCTTTTCTTCTGCTTAATTTAGCCAACTACCACTCATGACTCCAGATGTTTCTGCTTTTATCCATGAGAACTTTATGTTATGGCTATGCCAAGATTATCATTTCAGGCTCGGCCTCAGGAGAAGTATTTTCAAATTCCCTAAATCAAAAATTTTAAATACAAAGTGCCATGAAATATTAAAATTGAGGTCTTAAAACATTTAACATGCCAGAAATGGGAAACAAACCACAAAACCATATTGCTCAAGGTTCTGGGTTTTCAAACTTGTTGATACATTTGCCTCTGTGTCAGCAATGAGAGCCCAAATTATGCCATTTTCTGATCTTCTGACCTTCAGAGTCTTGTTTCAGACACATTTGCCTTTGGTGGTTCCAATCATCAACAATACATTATTAGGAGCAAAGATACAGGCAGATCCAAGATTCATGGGCTGGCAAAAAGTTGAGCACAGTGAGCCAAATTCATTTCTGATATATTTAGCATAAATGGAGTTGTGCCTCCAGTGGGGAATTCAGCAACCACACGGGTCTTCCTCATCAACTTCCTATTGATGAACTGGCGTATACTCGTTCTCCGAGCTGCAGCCAACCTTGTTAGCATACCCATTGTGCAGTCAGAGTCATTAAGGTTAACAACTCTCTATTGTCCATAATCTTATGGGTATGTGCTAAAAGCCGTCAGCCCATGGTGGACTACACATGCACCCAGAGATATTCAGTGACCCAGTAATTTTCACAGTAACAACTTCATAATATGACCCAGAATTCATTGGCTGTACGGACAGAGTTCCCAAATAAATCATCATCACCGCATACAGTCAACCTCAGTCTAATTGCTACCCTCAGTTACACCTGTGCCACCCCACTGGGAGCGATGCAGGTTTAATGAATATTAATGAAGGCAGAATTTGGCCCATCAAGTTATGATAATGATTAAAACGTTTGCAAAGCATTTCAGAGTTTAAATTACTACTAGCATTACGAAGTATTACGGGTGTAACTGTCTGTTTCCCTCATTCACAGGCTGTTATTGCTGGTGTACTTATTCTTTTGGCTGACAGAGGACAAACACAAAGATCACTTGTAAGCTTATGTCATTATTCAATATGGTGTCTAAATACAGCAGAGAAGTCAGGGGAACTGCAGAGTTAATCCAGATTATATTATATTCAAGAGGAAAAAGCATAGTTTGCTACTAAAATTGCGGATCAAATACACTATACAGGGCTTAAAGCGAACAAGCTTTAAACGTTCTACCAGCTTGGTGATTCTACTAGTTCCAGAGTTACTTCCTGTCTTTAAAATGGGGATTTTTGTTAGTGTTCAAGTTTGGAAGTTAAGGCCGCCCACTGGAATTTATGTCTTTCTGTGATACATGACAAATGCAGAAATAAAATACATCTGCTCTAATTTGTTCTAGTGTTTTTAGCAAAATTTGGTTTCCCTACATTCATCTTCCCTGTAGAGAATCCACATCATTTTTTATAGCAAGTGGCATATATGATATTGATTTTGCTTATTTCCCCCTCCAGTATGTTTCTTGTTCTGGTCACATTAGGGTTTAGAATAGAAAAGAAGTGAAGTAATAGGAAATCTCCCACTCTCTTTAGTCAAAGGTTTTTAATAGATTTTTTCCTCTCATTAGTCAGAAGAGTAATAGTATGTTTCTGTCTCAATTTCAGTGGGAAGCTAGCTTCACCTTTGGCATATTGAGCATCATGGGCTCCCCAATTCAATTTGCTGTTGCAATTGTCTCCATCCTGCTTGGTCCATATTGCTACTATTCATTTGCTGGGATTGCAGGGACCAACTATCTCGGTTATGCAGTTTTGTTCCCTTTTCCCTACAAGGAATTTATGTCTCTTTGCAAGGACCCATTGCACTACGAGTGGTACCATCTGGTTCTACAAATACTAGACCTTTGCTCAAGTTTTGTCATGTTTTGTGGTTCTTTGGCTATTGTGATCAAGCTCACTGCAAGACTGCTCCAATTTGGACATTTAAATGTGAGTATCAATCATTATAGGGAAAGCGGATTACTGCCAATAACACAGTAGCTATGACTACCAACTTCCCTTTACTTAGTGGCATGTCAGACCTGCTCAAGGTTAGGCCACATCCTGAACTCACTCACACCAGATTTACACTTCAATAACTCAACTGAAGAAAACAGAACTATTCCAGATTTACGCCCATTCAAATGAGATAAATAAGTGGCCCTGTAGATCCTTTGTGCCCTAATACTATTTCACCTAAATGGGATATTTCTTTAGCATATGCAACAAGGGCCTGTGATATTAGGACCTGATTCAACACCCCCTGAAATCAAGTGGAACCTTTTCTTTGACTTCAGTGGAGTCAAACCCTTGGAGTAGAAGCTCTTGAATTCGCTCCTCCTTTATGACTGTGAAATTCTGACTGGTTACAGTGTGAGGTATAGTTAAAAGCTATACAGGCACAGACATGTTACCTGAACAGCAAGGCCAGGTGTCAAAAATAATCATCATTAAAGGTGTGACATCCCTACTTTGTGTGCAGATTTATCAGGCACTGTCTCTGAAAAAGCATGGAAGGCTCAAGGCTAATGTACAGATAGCACTGGGAGTCAAGGCCAAATTTCTTGGCAGTTAGGAGCTGTCAAGCTGAATTCCCACTCTGTCACTCTGAGTGCAGAAAGTGGGGGCCTGCAAGGATTCTAAAAATTAATAGTTGCCACTCCAGGCTTGTATTGAACTCCCAAGGTTACAGCTGGTGGTTAGAGAGCCTGCCTGTAACTGCAGCTGGGTGTGTCCCTACCTGTGTGAATGCTGGTGAAAGTGCAGGCTGGAGGGCTTTGCAGCTTGTCATAGCAGTACAGTGTGAAAGGGAGCCCAGGCTGTGAGGAACCTGTCACAGCATGGACCTCACCTTCTTATTTGGCACTGTTGGCACTTATTGAATAATGAATCATGTCACATCAATGGCCATTAAAGGGCTACAAGCCTAATGAAAAGGTTGCAAGTCATGAGCCTAGTTTAAAGTGAGGTTGAAAAGACCAAAGAGCTTGCACTGGACATCTCTTGTATTTGTACTTCCCATGAGCTTTATTGATATTGTTCATAATTTTCCTGTCTTCCGTGGTATTTTTCAGAAGACATGAACTGACCTTTTGTTATTTTTATGGTTACTACTTCTCCTCCAATATATATTTCCCCAGATGGATGTTCCTGCATTCTGTTGACCACTTCCTGTTCTGTTGACCACTGTTAACCACTTCCTATTCTTCATTGAGAGTTCAGTCCTGTTGATACTGAACATTCTGGCCCTGATCCAGCACTCAGTTAAGCACATGCTTTGAGTTAAGCACATGAATGGTCCCATTGAAGACAATAGGACTACCCACAGATTTAGGTGCTTTGCTGGGCCAGGGCTTGGGTGCTCAGCACTTTGCACAATCAAGCCCTGATTATCTAAAAGTTTTCTCCTACAAGCAGTACAGTCAGTACCCTGCCTGCAGACCAGCCTCCAACTGAACACCTAATTGATCCATCAGTCATGAGACTCTTTTAAAACCCATCCTTCCCTGCCTCATTGCTGAGTCCACCCTCAAAGATTTATGTGCGCCTTAGCTGTGGATGAGACTGCAAAAGAAATTTGGAAGATTTGATACAGAGCTAATACAACAAGCTTGATTAAGACAATACAATACTCTCCCTTCATATTTGTACCTTATTCCGTACTGCACTAGTTCATTTCCAGCATGTGAGCATGGCACCCAGGCACATAGGAGCAATTCAAAAGTAAAACCTAAAAGAGCAGTGGGGAAATGTGCCAGCCTGACAATGGGGTTTCATTTAATAAGTATAGTTCTGAGTGTGGAAATCAAATCTGAAACAGTGACAGACAGCATTAGCATTGTCTGCATTCTTGGAGCAGCACTAAACTAGCAGAAAGAAAAGAAGCGAGACACTGGCCCAGACATGCTCCAGCTGGCTGCAACTATATCTTCCCTCCTCCATGAAATGTAACCATTCAGCTTGTTTTCATTTCATTATTGGAGGGTATTTTTGCAACCTGCCAGGAGGGAAAAAAAAAAAGGAAAAACATTCTTTTAAACGCTTTGGTATTTTTTTTAAATGAACCTGTGGTTATTCACGTAACTTGTACTCCTTTTACATTGAGCAACATACAGTTAAATAGCCATCTACAACATCCACAGAATCAGCTACAGCGGCCACCAGGTAGCTGTACATTTTACACTCTTTTCTGCCAAACTTTCCAGTTCTCTTCTATGAATTCCCATGTGCATGTGCCCCTCTTTACTATCATTATATTTTGGCACCTGCTAGTCAGGAAACAACTGGCTAGCAATGCAAATCAGGCATTTAATGAATTCATCTAAGGCAGGGATTGGCAACCTTTGGCACGCGGCCCGTGAGGGAAAGCCGCTGGCGGGCTGGGCCAGTTTGTTTACCTGCAGCGTCAGCAGGTTCGGTCGATCGCAGCTTCCACTGGCCACGGTTCGCCATTCCAGGCCAATGGGCGCTGCAGGAAGGGCGGCCAGCACATCCCTCGGCAACCCTAACGCTGCAGGTAAACAAACCATCCCAGCCCGCCAGCAGCTTTCCCTCACGGGCCGCGTGCCAAAGGTTGCCGATCCCTGATCTAAGGCCTGATCCTGCAGACTTTTGCTCCTGGGTGCAGTTCCATATCAACTGGAGGCTCAGGCTTTCACTTTGTTCCCTGCCTGAGGGGCGAGCCTTCAAAGAACAGAGTTCATCAGTTTTCATTTTACTAATATTCATATTCAGAATATGCTACTGTGCAGAGCTACTCGCTCTCTGCCCTCACCTTGCAGAGCTGGTGGAATTCCTGCTTTGGTCCTGCTTTGAGCAGGGGGTTGGACTAGATGACCTCCTGAGGTCCCTTCCAACCCTGATATTCTATGATTCTATGATTCTATGAATTCTACCTTGGTCAAAATTGAAAAGCTTTGCTGAATTCAGATCAAACTGAAATTTCAGGAAGAAATAAAATTCACAGCCACCTAAAGGCAGTGACTATATAAAGTCCCCCAGAACATGAAAGCCTCATTCAGTTCTCACTATACTCCTTGGGCAAAATTCTCTTCTCAGTTTACACCTATGCAATCCAACTGAAGTCAATGGGCCAAAATTCTGTCTTAGCTATGTGGCAACCCTGCTTGAAGTCAATGAAGTTGAGAGAGCTGGTCCTAGGAATATGTAGCAAGTGCAGTTACATGTGACCCATTACCCATGCTACCTCTTTGTTAGCCAAACTGATGGGGTGCAGCTTGGTGGCTATAAAAAAAACGTACTTTAAATAGGGAGCTGACATACAGCGTGACAACTCTGGGAACCACATGAAGGGGCTGATTTTCATCAGTGGAGACACCTGGTGATGGGAGAGGACAATGGAAGAAATTGGAGTCCCAAAGCATCTGCATATCACGTTAAAACAGGGTGGACAAAAAAAAATTTAAATCAAGGGTTTTTTTAATTTAAATGGGATGTTTTTATTTTGTCATTTAATTTATAATAAATTTTTCTCTTTAAAATAAATCGGTTTAATATGAAATTTGAATTTAATATAAAATATGTTAAGGCCTAAATTTATTAAAATCTCTTAACACATTTATATAAAAAATAAATAAACTGAATCCATGAGCCTCAATCTAAAGCTTTGAGTTAAAGGCTGCTTTTCTATATAAAGAAAGAACCAGGGGAAAAACATTTAACTTTTGAGGTCAAGCATAATAAATATGGCACAACAAGTCATATACTTTATTGAGGGCTTGTTTTGTTTAATAAAAATGAATTTTATATGCTGTTTGTGTGTGTTTAAATTCCACTGGCCATCCAATGCAGCTTGACACAAATCATAAGCAAAAAGTTAATTATCTAGTAAATAAGCAATATATCATTCACTGTTTTCTAACATGCTAAAAATGTGCAATTAATTAATAAGAATTTGAAAATATTAAGCTATATAATTACTTGTATAAATGTCTGTAGTTATAGCACACTCTCCTAGGTAGCAAAAATCTGTACCAAATGTATTGTAAAGGCTCTATTTAGTTATAAAACAATATGTTTTAATGGTTATATCAACCAACAAAATCAAATGGCCATTCTTTGGCAGGAATAAAGGTGTGAGCGAGAAATTTGCATCTTGGCAAAGAAGCAGCTGGAGGTTCCCATCCCCACAAACTTTCTGTCTCCTGAACCCAAGTGGAGATGATTCTCAAAAAAGAGGAAAAAATATCAGAATGGGGGACAGACCGCCCAAGTTCTCTCTCCCTCCACCTCTACTCACAACATTGACAACAGCAGCAGAACAAAGGAAACAGCGTTGGACTAAGGGAGGGATTGTGACTGAACGATTCAGCCCATAGGACTGCTAGAATATGTGATGAGAGATGTTTGCTTTGAATTCACTTAGCTTGTTAAGTTAGTCTTTTACTTTTTATTTACTTGTAATCAATTATGACTTTTATGCCTCATTACTTGTAGTCACTTAAAATCTATCTTTCTGCAGTTAATAAACTTGTTTTATTGTTTTATCTAAACAGTGTGCGTGGACTGAAGTGTTTGGGAAACTCCATTTGAAATAACAGATTTGTGCATACTATTTTCTATTAATATAGTGATGGACTTAAATGAGCTTTTATTGTCCGGGAGAGGACTGGGCAGTACAAGACACACATTTCTGAGAGAAAGTCTGGAACTGGGAGCTTCCTGATTTTGCCCTGCAGTGTAATTCAAGAATGGTTGGCCATAGCACTCATAGCATATAGCTAGGAGTTATTTACATGCTGGAGGCTGTGTGTGAGCAGACCAGAAGTGGTTGCTGCCATAGCAAAGCAGTGTAAAAGGCCCCCCATGTTGGAGAACTGAGGGGACACAGCTGTTCAGCAGTCCAGATTGTACCCTGTGTAATGCCACAGTGAGTCCTCCATGATGCCTAAAGAGGTTGAGGGGGAAGCAGCCAATCAGAGAGAGGCTGCAGGGAGCAGCAAATCAGAGCCCAGCAGCTGCATATAAAAGGAGCTCCTGGAGAGTGCAGTTGTAGGCTGGAGTAAGGAAAGTGAGCAAGAAAAACCTCAGCCCTGAGATAAGGGTGAAGGCACTGGGGCGACAGGGAAGTGGTCAAAGGAAATGCAGACAGTATTAATGGGATGCAGCAGGAAGCTGCTACTTATAAGTTCTCTGGGTCTGGACCCAGAGTAGTGGGTGGGCCTGGGTTGCCCCTCAGCAACTAGGGAAGCGGCTTAAGCCCTGAAAAGGGAAGTAGCCCACAGCCACAGAGCTGAAGCCACAAAGCTGAAGTCCCAGAGACAGAGTCAACATTTGTGGGACTTTTGATACCACTCCGGAAGGGAGTTGAACTATAAAGAGTGCCCAACTGGAGAGCTGAGGCAACAGGCGAAAAGCTCCCAGGGAGGAAGCCCTGGGAGTAATGCTCCATACCACAGCAGGGACAATTTGAGAGGCAGGTCAGCCCAGGGTACTGTGAGAGAGTCCTGTTGGACTTGCACCCCAGGAGGGGTTTGTTTTGTTTGTGAACATGGATGGTATGTGACTCAACTGGAGGGCTGAGTCACTGAAATTCTCCTAAGTTTAACTGCCAGCAGGGGTCACCGCAAGCAGCACAATGCAGAGGGAG